TGGCTTTAGAGATCTTAACTCTACAACAAATTGATATATTTTGATAATTATTTTTACAATTAGTCACAATTGTGCATTCTATTGAATGAAATAGAATGGTGAAGGTACTGTGAAAACTAAAGAGTTGATTATTTGAGAAAAAATGATTATTAATTTACTTTGGACATTTCGGCATTCGGCAAGTAGCGAGCGACCGGTCTTCCAAAGGACCAGGAGCGCGCCGAACCTTCAGCTCTTGGACACACAAAAGGAGGCTGAACTCCGTCGGGGATTTTGGCTCCTCAAGATAGGACGAAGCATTTTACAGGACTCTTTTGAACTTTATGAATTAATACCGACGCGTGTGGCAGAGAGTTGCTGTTTAACCGGCGTATGGATTTTGCTGCCTTTGAAGCTATGGAAATTAACCATTCCGAGTTTTCATTTACGTGATCATTTCCATCGTCCGGATTTTATTTCTTCAGAATACTACAAGGATTTTGAGAAGTTACACGGGATATATTTTGTTTATATTGGAGAAGTAAACAATAACTGTTCAATTACTTTTAAATGCTGTATTGAGGATATGGAAAGATGAACATATAAGGCACTTCATTTTTAAAGAGTGTAGATACTGTTACAATCCATACCCAATAATTTCGTATTTTGAATTATTTGCATCGACATTTATATTTGATTGTTAAAATTTATTTAAAATTGAATGAGATCAATGATGACGACATGTAATTAATGCTCGGAACATCATAGGTAAATAAAAAAATTCTAAGCTTAATTTATTTCGGAACACATAAAAGCGTTCTCGCTTTATTTCGAATGAAATTCCGGAAGGAATAATTAATTTGTGGGAAAAAACGGATGTGATTAACATACAGTCATGATGCACAATATACATATCATTGTCTTTTTTGTGAATTTTTCCGCATTAGTGCCACTTCAATAATAATGCAGATTCTGTTTTTCTCTTTTTGTAATTCACGTTTTCACTGTTTTAGTACAAATTGAAAAGCAGTAGAAAGGTCGTATTTTTGATTCTGAAGCCTTTTAAACATGAAAAATAGATATTCTTTTGCATTAATTACCTTTTCATATCGTGCATTTTGTATGAAGCACATCGTGGTTTCATATTTCGATGATATTTTTAAAAACGGTATGTTTTCTCTTTAAAGAACATGGAAAAACAATATGCTGAATAAAGCGGTGTTGCGTTTATAAATGTTTGTTGAACGAAGCTTCGTAATTAAATACATTTTTGGTTTTATACTTCGTGGGAAAAAGTCCGCCGTTGTGCATCGTGAATGTGGGACGTTTGTTGGTATTGTGAAAGCACATTTAAAACACCATTCTCTGTTGCGTTGCATGTAATGTGCATCTTGTGATAGAACAACATTCGTACTTATGATGATGCATCTTAACTCGATTAAGAAGTTGGTAGGCCTGTGTGCCGTAAGGGGAGATGGCTTTCGTCTGTATATCCTCCTTGTTCCAAGCATGTAATTGTTTCTTTGGCATCTAAAATACGCTCTTAATTCTGTTTGTGTAACTTCAGGGAGTTTAAATTGTCATGAAAATAACGTTTTCTCTTCTATTATTTTTTTTAAACCAGATATATTTGTTTGAAATGAAGTCGTGAGGGTGAAATATAAAAAGAAACTAGAATTGTTATGTAAATGGCTATGAATCCTTTCCCCTACAAATTACGTTCTAAGGAGAAAGATATCTCCATTCCAAAATTTTTATCTGCTATATTTTCCACCTAGAACGCGTTCGAAATTCTCCGCTGTTTCGAAAATTTCGCTTTTATGTGAGGAATAGACATTTTAGGCTCTAATAAAAAGAAGGGTTAAAGAAAAGATTGGAGAAAAGACAAGTCCCGACAGTCAAATTCAATCGCTGTCTGGAGGAGAATTCTGGCGGCCGACTGCTCTGATTGGTAGTTTTCCGATCTGCACCAGGCGAATGCCGGAGCAGTACCCTAACAAACGGGCCACGGGCCGCGCGCGATCTTTCCCACCTCTACCTTGTCCTATCCTCACTCCTTACTTACACTTACAAGCACTAAAATACTGTCGGGAGACCAGTCGGGAGCTTAGAGATTGCCTCGGCTGTGGCGGTGGGATATACCTGGTTGAGAAAACCTCACTAGCCGACGTGTTTGTTGGCCTTGGATCTCGCCATTCAGCGCAGGAAGATCACCGTCACCGTAAGAGGGCATACGCACGCACTACACTTACGGGACTAATTATCTCGTGCATTAAGAGCTGCTTTTCTGCTTAAACACGTAAGTAACCTTACATTTCCCTAATTACAACTGGGAATCGAACCCGCAGTTAGAGCTCTGCATGCTGGAATGTGTAACAGGCCGATTGTTCCCGCAAGCCGGCTACTAGAAACGAGCGGATTTTAACCGCTTGTCCTCTACGTACTCTGGAACCGGGGGATCTCAGAATTTCGATAACCCAGGCTTCCTCGGTGCCTCTTAGAGGCAGAGGAATATCCTTTGTTGAATGTCTCACCGTGCGAACGCCCTACTTCAATACTCAGCGGCGCGAAACAATCGCATTTGAAGCGAACGCTTAGAAGAAAAACGGACCTTTATCCGCAGAGTTTGCTTAAGGCGCGATTATCCTCGACTCCTCTTCTCTTTGCTTTAAAGCGGAGCGCGCTGTCTGGGCAGCAGCGCAGAGGGCTGCTTATAAAGAGATGTTGTTTTTTCTTAGATTCCTCAATTATCGAGACGTTCAATTTTTAAATTTACGGTTCTGATGATACATCGTGCAGTACCATAAGAAAGAGTATGAGTACACAAATATTTACCGTTATGACGATGACTCGTAATTTTGAGTAATTGTAATTTTATGTAAAAAAAATATTTTATTGTTAGCTGCAGGATAACACATAACTGTATCAACTTCACACCAGATGCGTCATTAAATTTTCATTTCATATCAAGTGAATTATCAATTCATTAAATTTATTTGTGCATTTAAGTAAATTATTAAAATGTCTGTTCTGTTTAAAAAAATGTAGAGTTACATTGTTCAGGTAAATACATAATAAACTTTAAGCCATATATACTGTACATTAAACAACAATCGATTAAAAAGCGTTCAAGTTAGTTTCTAGTTAACAATATATTTCGTTTTAAATTTTGGTTCACGGCAAAACGTATACTTTCCTTTCTGTTTTGAAACGATTCTGTAGAGTTTTCCAATGTTCTAGTTAATTAATTTGTTCAAACAAATTAGTCTGTTGGCTTGCAACCCATCCATCCTTTACTTCGGTAACGACGTCCTTTGTTATGGCGAAGCAGGCTTATTCTGATGGGATTTTATAAACAAAAAGTTATTTATTTATTTTTAGTCACAAATCGTTATAGTACAAGTAATTGCAGTTAATTTAAATTACGGGAAGCAAACCTAGTGTAAATAGAACACACTCTTCCAGTCACTTCCCGAAATCTGAATCCAACGTATCAAGTTGTAAGAAATTACGAACTTTTGAAAACCAAAAGCAAAAGGGGTTCATTCTGTTATGCTTCATACGCATCACCGATATAAGAGTATTTAATGAAATATTCTACTCACAGTTTGGATTCACTAATCACGGCATGTGTGAAAGCCAAAAAGTAGCTAAGACATCGAGACTTCCAACTAGCAGATTCGATGGTGTTGATGAAACCATCAAAATCAGTTCCTCTAGTTAAAAATAAAAAAAATATATAAAACGCAAAATAATAAGACGGCAATATCAGTTGTACTATTTCTCTACCAGCGGCGAGAGCGGTTAAAACCATTTGTATGCTTTTCCTCCCCACATGGCAGGGGGTCTCTTAAAAGCATTCCTTGCCTGTGTACGATAATCAATCATGTGCTCATTCTCGAAAGATAGCGATCGCTGTACGGCGACCGACGTGACGATCGCAAAACAAAAAGTCGCGGACACGCGCGACCGCGAGCGGCCCATAAGGAACCCGGCGGAAGTCTTGCGCAATGCGAACCCCGCGCGGCGTGTTGGCGTCTGGCTGATTGACTCGCGGGGCAGCCGCAGTCTGCGCGAGAATGCGGGTGGCGCGCGGGGCGGACCACACGCTCACGTGCAATGCACCCGGTCGTCGGTCTGTCGCCTAGGAAAACGAGGGCACGAATGAGCTTCCAAAAGTCACTGTTTAAGACCGGAACAGTGTAGGAGGTGCGGCATCGACAACCGTAGTTGACTCAAAATATCGATTTTCAAAACACATCGATCTAAAAAATGGATGTTTCTAAATCTACTTTCGTAACCACTAACATCAGTGTTCACAAGCACGATGATCGTGTTTATTAACTTATGATTGAGTTTTAGCTGATAAAACAAAGTCAAAAAATTGTCAGAGTATTTATTAAAGTGTTCATTGTTTTGTGAACTAATACAAACCTAATTCAGTTCATTTATCAGAAAAAAAATGGCTAATTTTTCACTGTTCTTGTGAGGAATGTTCAAATCGTAGATATCTGAACGTTGTATTTTTTCAATCAAAAGTAAGAAAAAAGGTAAATAATCGATGTAACATAAACATCGGCATCAGTTAATCGATATTACGTACATTGATGCTGATACAAAAATATTGATGTTTCGGAAACCGACATCGATGTCGTATCCTTAGGGCAGAGACGGCTGTTCAGTTAGTGATGCAGAACCCTTATCGTTAATCATAAAAACAATTCTTGATTAGTAAATACAAAATAACCAAAAACAATAGAAAATAAGATAATATTAATAAACAATAACAGATGAAATCAGTTTCAAGATATTGAGTGATGACATTGCACACGACAGAGTATGGTCAGTAATGTCATGGGGCCAAACCTGAAGTTGTATAGCAGCCCCTGATGATGGAAAAATCCTTTTTGAAACGAACTATCATATGTAGTTGTATTTCCCAAATGCACGTATCGCATAAAATACACAACCGTTTCCACAGAGCTACTACAGAGGGATTAATCTATTGTATTTTTATGCAGACATCTGGTGAAGGAATCACTAATGATTCCTTAACATGTTGGGTATGAAAAATATTTTTTTATGAATAAAAGATATATAACATGACATAATGGTTGTTCCTTTTACATAAAATGTGACTGTGTAAAAAACGAAATGTATGACTCATTGCAGTACAGAATGTGACCGTAGAAGTTCAACTCTGTCTTGCGTCGTACAGGGGAATCGAATCTTGTTGGAAAGGACCTAACGCATTGCAATTCCTGCTGTCCTCTTTTAGCCAGATCAGGCAATACTATGCAAATGCAGAGAAGCTCCCGACAGGTCTGTTTGGTGAAGACCAGTTCAAGGTGGATAAGTTTCATTTAGGCCAGTCCGGTCCAATTAGTTTAACGTTTCATTTGATTCTCGTTTAGCAGTTTATTACCATTCAGTCGAGTCCAATTTAAATCACCTTCCTTCAAGAACAATTTAAATTGTTTAACATTTACAAGGTTTTAAACTTGCCAACTTTTAAAATATGAGGACCTGCATGCTTAGTGGTTAAATACACGAACGAGCTGTAAATTCACCTACTGAATCCTCAGCAAAACACATTCTAAACCTAGTAAGACGTCATCACAGAAAATGTGGAAAATAATTAGTTTTTGATGCTCCTAAAAGTAGAAGAGCTACTTTAATATTAATTTCTTCTCAAAAATTGGCATTACTTGAATTCAGGATCAGCTTATATTAGCCATGTTAATATCTAGCCCCTGTTGGGTTTTAATGTTTATACGTTCAGATCAGTTACGCAAAGTTTAACTGAATATAATGATTTGGAAAACATTACGAATGTACCAGTCAAATTCATTGTCGTTAACTGCGGTTCAGTTCGGTCATGTAATCCTAGTCCACTCCCATTCAAATCAATCCAGTAGTGTTGAGAACTATTCAATCCAGATAAAACGAAAATCAGTTAGGTTCTGTTCACTAAATTCGGTTCAATTCCAACTAGTCAAAGTTGAATTAAAAGTTCCGTTAAATATTCAATTCAATTCATTTCATTTCGAAGTTAATTCAGTTGAGGTTTGGATTCGGTTCAATTGAGGTCAAAACGAAATTCGTTGAAGTAAATTCCTAGTATACCTACAAAAGTTTTTGGCATACTTCAGATTCGTAATCAGCAGCCCCAAAACATAAAGAAACAAAAAAAAATCAAAACGACACCGCATTTATTTTAGTATATACGTAATGCCTACACAAACTTCCAGTTGCGGATTTGCTTTGAAGTTGATACGCGTGAACTATCAATAGGGCGGCCTCTGGAACTAGAATCCCAAAAAAGGAAAACAGAGTCGGCGTGAAACATGAAAATAACCGCCCAACGATCTGGCGTCTGCTTCTTTCAAGTTGCCGTCCTCGTTTTATTATTTTATTGAATGTGTTCTGTCGTGGAAGTGAAGAGGATCGTTGGAATGGGATAGGCGAAATGGGCAAAACCCTCAAAATGTCGCTTATACATTTCATTTCAGAAATGTTTATTTTCTACGTAACGTTTACAAAAAATCAAACGGTACTTTTTGAAGGTTCTTGGCATACCCATCTGCTGGCGCGTGCATACTAGCGTGAAGCCAGAAATATTTTCGAGTGACACAATCACGTTCCAGGGTCAGTGATGTTCAGTGGTTGACCAGTCTGCAAAGGCGTGCATTAGATCGCGTAGATGGTATGTGTAGTTAAAGATACTATGTAGACGCTGTCACGAACTTTCTTTTGCCCAAATTCTACAATGTTGCAGTATTAATTCCGGAAACTGCGACTTTCACATGCAAACCTCTTTATAACCAACCCCCGGATTGAAAGTGAGATCTCTTCGAGTCTCTTTATAGCCTGCACAAGCAACCAAACGAGAACGTAGTGTCAGTAACGTGAACAATCTCAAGTTGTTTTCTTTTGTCCGTTCAGGTTGCAAATCGACAAATTTTATTAGTCGACGTCTGAATTGATACTGTGCTTAATATAAATAAATTATGGGAAAAATAAAATAAAATATAATCTAACTTTCGGGACCGATGTTGTAGCACCCAGGTACCTAGAGAAGACCGAGTGCCGATTTGAAACCTTGACAAGCAATTCCTTGAGAAGGCCAATCTTTAAATGGGGATCCTAACTTCCTTCGACGTTTCTACCTGGGAGGGAAGTGAATGACTAAAACGTGGATCGAGAGCGTGTTTTAAACCCTTAGCCCTTTAATAATGTTCAAGTTTCAATAATATTTATAATTTTATTGACGTGCGCTGTTTTGTTTCAATCGTTTTTTGATCTTGGCGGAATTGTTTTAGTTAGCACTCATCTTTATAAATAAGTAATTACTATATCATTATTGGTAAAAAATAAGCTATAAGACCTCCTTCTCTGGTTGACGTTTTCTAACATATTTTTTCATTAGTACAATGACACTAAACGGATGGAACGGAACACAAGTTACCATACTTCACCTTTCGAAACGAAGGGGGGGGGGACTTCTACCGAAGATTGAATCCCAAGCAACATACCCCACTAGATAATCAAAGTAAAGAAACTCATGCACGATGGAACAGCTATGAATAAATACTTGGAAATACCCTGGTATTATTAATTGCAACTCCGAATTGGACAAGTAATAATTTTACTTCTTTATCAAAACGTATCGAAAGTCGTGGTATATTACTTAACATAAGGAAAAATGTTCGTTTTGTATTTAAAGTAGTTTTTCAATCAACATTTTCCCGTCAACTATATTTTGTAATTTACTGAATTAGTAAAGAAGGAAAGCACTACTTTCCTCTGTGATATTTCCTCCATGATTTTCCTATCATGTCGCCCAAAAAGTGAAATTACATCAATTTCTCTACAAGATTCCATAGAAATCTTAAAGGAGGAATATTGCGCCTGCCCTCTAAGCGCAATATCTTAAACTGCAACAAAAATTGCGAAACTAATAATTGTACCAATTACTAAAAGGATCCTGCAAGTAATAATGCTAAGAATTAAGCAGGCAATCGCATTAAGCAAGCAAGTTTGTAACCAGACGATTTCAGTTAGGTTGTACGTGATTACCTTGACCAAGTTTCTCTTCTTTCTATACTGTTTAATAAAGCGCGATTTACGAGGCTAATTTTTGATGTAATGTTCAAAGAATCACATAAAAAACAAGAAAGAACCTCTTTGTTCTTTGATCACACAAGAATCCTCATTACTCATTCACATGTTGATTCTTAGGAGCTCAGTTAGCCAGAACTCGGCACAAATGTCTTGCAGCTGTTCCAGGGGTTATATTTTAGAGCTAATGGATTGACTCGATTACTCATAATAGTCGTCTCACTTTGTGTGTTGCAAGTGGTTAGAGATTCATGCTCCATTCTTCGAATTTGTGGTTTGGACTGAAAGGAGGCATTTTATTTTCTCAGCGAAATGATCGACACACGCCTTTGTTTATTCACGGAAATATAAATAACTCTGAAGCAATGAATTTATCTTGGGTTAATTTTCTTCGGTATTAATCGTGATTAACACGAGTTACATCATTGAACTGTTCACATTGTTCACCTACAAATATTTGATAAAGAAATAAACATTTTTTCCAAGTGCTAGTTGAAAAAATATTTTTAAAATATATTGTCCTCTGGTAACCGAAAGTGTAATGTCTTGTTTACACAATCTTTCTTTCAGTGAACTCCAGATTTTTTCCAATTGTTAACTTCTCACACTTCCCACTTGAATGCAAATTATAGAAAACATATTCAGAAACACAATTAGGCATTGAAAGTCCACTGAATGTGTTTTCCTTCTGTGGGATTCTTATCAAGCAAATGTCACTGCATCCATTTAATCCCTGTTTCCTGTCAATAGTTTGCTCATCGCTGCTTGTTTAAGCTGGCGTGACATAGGCTGTGGTAGCATTTTCCATGAATTTCTAAAATCATATTAAATTTCTTATGACAAAAACTTTTTGGATATACGCAGTTTCCTCGATATTTTGCAAAAATATATTATCCTTTTATACGTCACCAAAGGCCCGTTGGAATGCGAATCAAATTTCGTGAAAACTGACAAAAAAGAAAAATAATCAAAAAAACGGTGATTTACATTCGGAGAGCTAATGATTCTTTAAACTTGGATTTTACTATAAATGGTAAAACGCGGTTCTGAGATTTAAACAACCACCGGTCATAAGATCAGGATGACACTTGAATCCTAAGAATTTATTTATTGCGGTTATTTTAATCCGTTTTTCTCATTTCAACGACATTAAAAATGATTTACAAATGAAGTTGTGTACAAACACTCGAGTTAGCAAGAAAGGGTTGGCGAACCTGCTGCAACCGGCCAACAAGGAACTTTGATGGCTCCCTGAAGAAGTACATCTCATTTCCTTCTTGAAGGGAATGGAATGAAACATTTATGCAGAATGAATGAAATTTGTAATTAAATGTATGAAATTACAAATGCATTGAACTGATGCGAAGAATTGGTACGAAAACTACCACTAGTATATTTCAATGTACAATTTTTGTTCCTTACTTTATAAATACATTGATTATTACCCGTTTTTATGGTCACCTTTAGAAACAAACAAAAAAAATCAAGAATTTGTGGAAGACGGAAGGCATTTTTATTACGTTTTAAACTTTCATCCAGCGAAAATGTTTAAAACATACGTAATCTTCTCAAGAGCGGAGGCCGCGTGCTAAATAAACAATAGGTGTCATTTGGGGCCCCAGCCCTCGCCCGCGCGCCCTATGCTAATGAGCGTGGGTGGCGAAGCTGCGCCTTTACTGCGGCGAGCACCGGGCGGGCTGTGAATTATGCAGCCGGGCGCTCCTGGGGCGAGCGCCTGGGGAGGCGCCGCGGCCCTAGCGAAGCGCTCTGCGGGCAGGGGACCCGGCGCCGGCCGCCCCCTGCGTACGTCAGCCCCTGCGTCCGGTCGTAACTCCGTCGTTCGACCCTCCGTCCGTTTGTTCCTTCGTTCGTTCTTCCGTCCGTTCCTTCGTCCGAACCTTCGTTCGAACCTTCGTTCGAACCTTCGTTCGAACCTTCGTTCGAACCTTCGTTCGAACCTTCGTTCGTTCCTTCGTTCGTTCCTCCGTTCGTTCCTCCGTTCGTTCCTCCGTTCGTTCCTCCGTTCGTTCCTCCGTTCGTTCCTCCGTTCGTTTCTTCCTCTATCCATTCATTTGTTTCTCCATCCATTCGTTCGTTTTTTCATTCCTTCGCTGGTTTGTTCGCTCCTCCGTTCGTTCCTTCCTCTGTCAGTTTGTTCGTTCCTGCCTTCCTCTCTCCCGTTCGCCAGCTTGTGGATTCGTTCATTCTTTCGTTTGTTCACTTTTATTAATTCGTACATTCATTCTTTCGTGCAGTCGTTCCTTCGTTTGTTTATTTGTTTTATTTGCTTTTGTTTGATACTGTGACTTCTTACTATTCTATACCTAACAGTCGTCGTCTTGGTTCATGAATTCCTTCTTGCATACGATAGTTCATTCATCGACTCATTGTTGAAACCGACTGGTCGCCACTTTAATAAAGATTACTATCAGTATTCTGTCATGAATGTGAAAAATTACAGTGAAAAGCAGCTTCAATAAGTGACGATATATAAGTCAACATTTTATTTTTAAAATGTACATGGATAAAAATTTAGATATCCAGATGAGCTCAGAGTAGACTCTCAAAACATCGAGTACAAGTGCTAGAGATGAACATTTTAATAAAGTTCATAATCCAATTATATTGTTTCTAATTAAGACGAACCTTAACATTCACCATTCATCCTTCATTTCGCCCATTCGTTCGTCTGTCGATCCATCCTGTGCATGGCCAGCTCGTTATACCTGTGGATTCGTTAAATGTTAAATATATTTTGTTATGGCGTTCATTTGTGCAAGAACTGATTTATCTTTCATAAACTCATTCCTTCAATATTTTCTATCATGATTGTTCGTTGTATGTGGTAAATGCTGATGTATTGATTCACTCGTTTATTATTGCATTGATATGCTTGCGTAACATCTTCCTCATTATCCAGTTTAATCAGCACGACAAACGCATTAATAACACGGTGCGTCATTGCTCATTCGTTTTTGCGCAGTTACTCCTATTCCTTCCTTACCATGCCCTGCATTGTACGAATGTATTGCTCTTTTACCGTTTACTGATCCACTAGGTCACTGCTTTTCCCGCAAGAAAAACTTAATTGTTTTAATTTAATAATGCGATGATTAATATTCACAAAAACACAATATAGAAGTCAATAAATAATCGAGCGGCGCCTTTTTTATTGTTCTTTATCTGTTCAATTTTGCTCGTTCTTTCCGTTTTGAAGTGCATGTAATAAAACTCTCTTAAAATATCCGTTGAGGAAAGGAAACAGTTTTATTCTCAAGTATCTATTGAGGAAAGACGATAACATGAGTTGGGTTATTTTTTGACTACTGCCTGTTTTGTTATAAATGCACGAGGCCGATATGTGAGCAAACTTTCCGTGTGATGTGTGGAATGGCGCTTGGTTGCTTCAAGAATAACTGAACTAGGGAACTTAATCCAGAAACAATATTCTCTCAAAGGATGGAGATGTCATTCAGAATACAATTCAAAAGCGCAAATTATAAAATGCATTAAATATATTTAAAAAAATTAATAATGTTTAAGCTTTTGAATCTTAATCTGAAAATTACAATCAAATCAAAAATCGTCTCTTTTTATTTAAGTTTATTTTCTTTTTTAGAAAAAAATAGTAAATTATTTAATATGATTGTACATAATCATTGGTTAGGCTTTTAAGTTTTTATCAATTTAATGTCCCTCCAGTTTTTATTCCTCGTAAACAAGAAGGTACTGGAGAATTTTAATGTTATCGACATCTCTCGCAGTGCATTACCTCTACCTCCCACAAAATATTGTTCCAGAGTCATATTATTTTCTCGCTACTTTCTACTTGTTTATTCCTACTAGTATTGTACTGTTGCGGAAAAATACCGGCGATCGTTCCACTGAAAAACTGAATAGTCGGACCCTGGTAACGATACTTCTTCATGTATTTAGTAAATTACTTCCTCTAACGCGATGTGTAGCCAGAATCGGAGATTGGTGGGTTCTTGTTGCTAAAAATTGGATTGTGCCAAAACATCTGCCCGTCCATCCGACTGTACGTCTATTTGTGAATAACGCTAGCAGCTAAACCGTAAGTAGGATTCTCGCGAAAATTGATATTACCCCGTTGCTCTAATGTGGCGACCCCTTGAATTTCAAATGGATATTTTGATTTAGGGAGGAACTTTACATGAAGATTCAACATCATTTTCAATTTTAAAAAAAGGTTTAAAATGTTTTCTTTTATAGGGCAAAAATGCGCTTAAAATGACATTTTCGTTGGACTCCTTGAATTCGACAATTTCAAATGTTCAAATATTGTTCGTCTTCGTATAGGTACAATACTAAAGATAGATTCCCCCCCCCCCCGAAGTGCTATCTATCCATTAAAACCAGATCTTCAAATAATATCCTGTTCACTTTTTCGAAAATATGAGCAGCTTTGCATAATTTTTAACAATTATTTTTTCAAAAACGGCTACAAATGTTTATAAAATATTACAATATTTCAATGTTATTGAATGGAATGGAATTGAATTGAATTTAATTCAATGACGCCTTATTTTAGATGGCTAGATCCAGGCCATCAGACCTATTATCCCCTCTGACTACACAAATTTCGTTACGCTTTCGCCATCTAGCGGAGAAAGAAGTAATCACGCGGGTGATGAAACGGGCAATTTAACGTTAGCTCATAGGCTTCTTTTACGCATGCGGATCTTTTACACGCAGTAAATCTACAACATGAGAGCTGGCTTTACTTCCCCTGCGAAAGAACGCGCATAAAGGATTTTTTTTCCACAGAGAAAATTACTGCGGAAATCAATACAACAAATGTATATCTCTGAACTATTTGTTAAATGATTCAATTAAGTCACAGAAATAAATAGAAATCTCGATTATTGGTTAAAAATGTATTAAAACAGTATACTCAGACCAAGAAGGTGATGTAGCCGTATGGGTACAGTGGGACTGAAAGGGTTAAAAACCCGCGGTTTCGCTCGGGTTTGAAACCTTAATATAAACTTGGGTATAAGTTCTCACATCCAATTTCTAACCACTCTGGAAGGAAATTGAAGGAGGAAAAAAGCGGAGATAAAAATCGGCGAGATGGCGCATAAAAATGGCGCGAGGCGGCGGGCGCGCGCCGTGACGAGACCCGAGGTGGGGTGGGGTGGGGGTGGGGGGGAGGATCGTCTGCCAGAACGAGCGTGAGGGGCGCGCAGCTCGCGCAGGCGACGACCTATCGAAGTCGGAAATCTGCGAGATGCCGCCTCGATAGCGCCTCCAGCCGCGAGCTTTTAACAGCGCAGTTTCTCTGCGATTAACTCCCCGCGAAAGAGCCTCCCTCGCCGCCGAAGCCTGCAGTATAGATGCGACATCGATAACAAAACACGACATCGACAACGTCGTCGATAACGATGTTACCATAAATCGATGTTCGAAATTGAAACATTGATGTTAACCAATTCGTGCAAAATTTCTAAGAGCTGTCCTCCAAAAATCATGATTTTTTGTGAGCGTCGGTGATTTACTAACACCTATCGTTAAATTTGTGCGCAGTAAATTGGAATTTGTCAGTGACCGTTCGTATTAACTTATAATTAAGAGTTAATGGAATAAAGTTTTAAAATCACAATGGCGAAATGCGAGCCTGAAAGCTTGGAGACGTAGGATCATTTAAAGATCAGTTGTCAGTTCGTTCGAGAAGGATACGGGGAAGGGGAAGTTCTACGCACCCGGCGCACATATTGACCGCCTCTTCATGTGCGAAATACGAGGAAAGACGTGGGAAACAGCAGCGCATCGGGGCTGATTCTGACAACGGATGACGACAAATGACGCTCGAGGACGTTGTGCGAACCGCGTTCGCTTTGTTCGAGCACAATTTAACAGGACACTACTTGTATTACATTTCTTTTAACTGTTTTAAAATTGCGATTATGGATGTTTTCAGTTACAACATTGAAAAACTTAAAACATCGAGCACAAAACATCTGTTAAAAAACATCGACTGTAATATATGAAAGTTTGAAACATCGTTGTTTCTACAGAAACATCGACGTAAACCTCGCATCTCTTTCCTGCAGGTCCCGTGGTTCTGTTGTTGACTTTTAGGGATTAGGGAGACGGAAGGGCAGGGGAAATGGCGGGCGGAATGAGGCGGGCGGTCAGGCTGGTAGACGGCTCCTACAAACCGGGGGAATAGCCGGTTCATAACTCCGGGGTTCATGAAACCCAAGGACACAACCCACAACTTTTGTTTTAATTTGAATGTTTAGCTTATCTAATTATCGTGGCTAATATTAATGCTATTCTAGCTAATAGTGTGTTTTGCTCTTATGTTTACTTGACGCTAGTAATGAAGAGAATGAAATGAGCAGAATTAATTTAATGCACTTGATAATCCCCAGTGCAACTAGTGTTTCTTATAGCTAAGCTCTTGTTTTCTTCTAAACTCTTGTTTTGCTTACATATTTTCTTAAAATACTATATAGTTTCTTACAGCTATTATTTTGTTTCTTGGTATATTTATTGTCTTATAGTTTGTGATACAACAGTTTCTTATAGCTACTATTTGTGTCACTTTTATTGTTTTGATGATTCTGATGAAATACTTTACTGAATTAACAATTATCAACCTAATGTAACCCTGGTAAAGCAGGAGGCCTTTGCCCTTTATGAGATGTTGCAGGCTTATAATAATAATAATAATAATAATAATAATAATAATAATAATAATAATAATAGTTATAGTACTTATACTTGTACAAATTTGCAAGTTGATACAATTTCTAAATTAACAATTTCCTGTGGGTGACTGTTATATCAGTTCTGAAACAAAGCAAATACTGGCAAGCGAGTCAAGTGCCGTTGTGAACAGTTCAGCGATTTTGCTGTAGCTTTATTGACGTGTTAAGTCATTCCTCATGCATTGGTGACTCGACTACTTTTTTCTTGCGAAAACAAAATGCAGAATTCTCAGGCGTTCTACATTGATTTTATTGATGTATTGACGTGTTAGGTCATTCCTCTTGCATAGGTGACTCAGGCTTTTTTTTTTTTCGCGCACATAATAACAATCCAGAATACTCAGGCGTTCAGTATTTCTCGACATATGATTTTGCAGAAATATAGATATCTTCCTTAAAAATCGTAAATTGCTCCCCAAAATACTGTTTCTCATTAGTGGTGTCGGTAGACTATAACAACTCTCGCAAATTGTTTGCACTTCACGGCCCATTTAACTTCTCTTTGTGCTTGTTTGGCTCCGTCCTAAAACTCTCTCGCAAAGGTCGTCATAATTCATAACGACAAAAGAATAACGTCATCGTAAACCTAAAGGAGCATGAAATTGCTTGTGCAACAACGGCAAGGCGTGCACGGCCGTTTGTTTACCGCCCTAATTCTGGAACAACGCATCACCCGAGACTAATATCATTTGCACGTAATTACGTACCAGAAAACCAGCAGCTCATACACCAATTCCTCTCTCGCCTTGGCATCTGCTCGTAGCGAAGTTAAAATTAGCTCCGCTTTCTTAATAAATAATTTAAATTAATTGACATCTGGAGTCCGCCACACGTTCACGTAGTTCCGTGTTTGGCCGCCGGAGCGCGCTAGCGCCTAGCGCGCGGCGAGCGGTCGGGACGTAGTTCGGTGAAACGCCGCCCGAGCGCGTCACCGTGCAGGGCGAGTGACGGTTGGCGCGGGCGCGTCGTGGAGAGCAGGCTGTCGAAGAGGTGGCCGCCACCTCCTCGCTCCGCCTGTTCGCCGGGCAACTCCCGCGCGCGGGCGCCACGGACCGGCGGTGCGCTGCGCGTGCGCAGCCGCGAGGCGCGTCGCCCCGCGCCGTTGCCTTGGCAACCAACAGCTGTCTGTGCCACTCGCGCCCGTCGCGCAGCCACTGGCGCGCGTGTGTGTGTGCGTGGGGGGGGGGGGGG